TAAGAACCCAAAGTCAACCTTGGAAAGAAGTCGAGGTATGTTTAAAAATGCTTGGAAGCAGAAAGGAGAGGTTCGCCTCTATTTTTAAAAGGTTCGAGCATGTTTTCCACAATTACGTGTCAATAGAGTCAAGGGAATGATTGAGAAAGGGGCTCTCGATTATGAAGACCGCCCATTGTGGTACGATGTATACAAAGCATTTCCTCCACGTATTGATCCTTCGTATGATCGACCATGTCCCACCACCATAGTGCAGAATATTATCTATCCGGAAGATTGCGAAAGAGCGTAAGGTCAATTGCTTTCTTGTGGACTTTCACCAGAGCTTTTTTCAAAGGTCCTCACAGGGTGGAGACATTAAACATGTTCAAACTAGTGGACAATCGTTCGACACTGTCTAAGTAAGTGTTTATTTTACTTGACACTGTGTCAGGCTTCTAAAGAAGTGTAAAAATTTGAGAGAGCTTCATCCAGACTTAAATTCGGAAGAAATTTTGTCATTGGCTGAAAAGGAGCTAAAACAAGATGAAACGATAAATAAGCAAAAATTCGATAGCACTGATAGCTAGATTAGTTGTATTGATTAAATTGTATCTGTCTTTAAAATAAAGCTTATTTAAACTCTTCATTTTATACTTCGAGTTTGCTTGGAACATCAGTTAGACATTTTTATAAAATTAATGTTCACAAAATTAAGATATCTTAACATTGTGGAAATAGGGCATTACCCGGAAATTTTTTTCTAGGCTAGTGAATTTGTTGTATAAATGACCTCCTTTTTTAACAGTGGTGTTGAGTTGAAAAAACGCAGAAGTTTCTTTGATATCTATAGTTTATTCGAAAGATATCCCTTTACAGTAGAATATTCTGAATTTATGTGTACTAACTCATTGTAAAAGCTAAGATTCAAAGACTACTTAAAGGTAGTTAAATCATATTAGTATTGGTAGTCCTAATAGATCATCTCAGTAGTTGGATGGAAAGGAAGGAATGTAGATGCTTACGTACACATACGATTTCATACGTATAAGTAATTTAATATTTCAACACAAAAGTTTCTTTCTGATGACTTAGATCAACTGATCTTGTTACACTATTCAGATATGGAGAAAAATAATTCCGTATATTTGACTTACAACTTTTGCAAACAAACAGTTGTTGTAATGAGCCTTAACTTTATGCGCAATCTCACATTTTTCACACAGGAACAGTAAATAAAATAAGAGGACAACTGTCAAGAAGGATAGACAGTTTTCAGTAAAAAAATGTCCAAAACCTACGTAAAGGTGAGGAGATCCACTTTCGGCGTTGTGGTAGATTTTTAGCTATTTCACATAAAATATCTTTAACCTCTGCTCCACACAGAGTAGGTACATACCTACACCTGTTATTCTGAAATACACGAACAATATTGGACATACACCAAGTCAATATATGTAGCCACACATTCTCCACTCTCAAAATTGTAACTATCGTAGACTATCATAGGCTACTGTCCATCATACATATTGTTTGATAAGTCGTTCAAGATTTTATTTGTAATGTTATTTGATAAATCCTCAGTAATATCTTTTTATTTACTTGGGAACTTCTCAGGTGACTAATTTATAAAGTCTCACCCTACCTACCCCCCAACAGGGTCAATTAGATCACCATTTCCTAATATATGTCTCGATTACCCTAGTATTAGAGGGTTGTTCTCAGACTTTTACTTAACGGACTTGAGTAATTCCTCATCTTGTCACTCATCGGTCAGTTGGGGTATTTTTCCTGCTTGTTGTGTATCGATTAGTGAGCTAGTCCAAGGGCTATTTTCTTGCCTCATAATTTTTATTTCTGGGACTGTAGTGTTGATTTGTCGATGTCATGTATCTCAAGGAGCACGAAAGCCCCTGTTTCATTTCTATTCAATTTTCGAACTACGATTTCGGTTGTTCCAACAACATTCTTCGAATGTTAGTACGATGATGCTATAAAAGCATTTAAAAGGTTTTTAAAATCCTTGGAGTGGATTAAAAACTAGGACCGGTTTATGCTAAAATTAAGGTGTTATCCTATACACCTAACCTGGCTTCACTAGTCTAATATTTCGAACCACATTTTTGTTCATGGATATTACCACTTGACTTTATAAACTTCGATTGTTCATGGGGTAAATTGTTTATTGACCTAATCGCTGTGCTTGACGTGCATTATATATCCAACCCTCACATTAACATTACTAATATCGAAATATCTCGAAAACGTTTCATGAATTTCGACAAAATGTACGAGCAACTAAAAAAATCACCTATTTGAATAACGACCTACACTTAGTCATGAAACACAAGAAATCCAATCTTTTACTCACTGGGATGCCCCCAAATGCCCTGGTACGGCCGAGAGGGGGAAGAGTCCGCTCTCCCTCTCGAAATGCTCTCACATGGCCACGCGTATATAGCCTCTGCCAGGGAAGTCCTACTCACTGCCTTCTCGTGGCGGGGGTGTTGTTTACGAAAATGACAGGACGAAAAGCGAATTTCCGGCGCTTTAACCGGATCCCAAATCAATGGTGCACATGGGCTCCAGTATCCTAAAGGATCAAATGGCGTATGAACCAATCGTTGGTCACCGGCTACCATGGGATTGCATCTCCTCACGATGCTCCACTGCCTTGTGGATTAGATCTTCAGGTCAAAGGCTCGGGGTGTGGCCCCCTAAGAAAACCACCTGCTTCGGTTTGGGCACCCGGGCAGTATCACAGCCCTCACACAAATCAATTGAGATTCGTGTGGCGCATATGTACTTGGTGCCTCCTTGTACCTATACCTATGTGTTAAAATAAATAAATGAACTCACTGGGATATTACAGATTCGTATGTATTATCGGCTTTCTGTTGATTCATACGTATTGTGTACATTTCTTAGGTAATCTAAGACGTTATCAACTCAACTTTGGCTCATTCTGCGACTAAGGAGAACCAATGTTTAATACTATCGGTCATGAGCAGTGTAGAACTTGGTATGTATGTGCTTCGGTCCAAGTTAGAACATAACCTAACTACAGTGTAACTAAATTACTAAGATGAATGATAAAGTATTGGTCTCAATAACAGTAGAAAGATTATGTATGGAAGATATGATTGAAGAAGTTAATGGGGAGAAAGATTTTAAAATTACGTATCTACGGAAAGACAAACAGAGAGTTCATTTATGTCATTGTGACGGGTTCTGCACCATATCATTCAACATCTCCATCTGTTGCTGAAGGTAATCGCCTGGAGGTTCGGTGCTTGTTTTTGATATTACGTTTTGATCATTAGGCCCCACTTCTTGTATTCCCTACTAAACTAGATCCATACAGTTGGTTGTCGACGTTACTAGTAGTGCTATTCGCACGATATGGTTACTTTGGATTTTCCCTGTTTATTGCTGAATAAAAACGATAACATCCTTTTGTTCCTAGGTTTATATAGAAGCTTAGTATTTGTTAGGTCTTCAATTCCTGTTAACTTTGTGATACATTGTATGAATCGCAACTTTGTTTCCCACAGAAAATTCCGGATTTATGAAATTTTTGAGATTTTATTAGAGTAGTTAATGCTGTTTTGTGGCATTTGTTGTTAAAAACAGTAATTTATATCCTGGCATTTCCTAATAAAAGGGATAACAAAGAGTTGACTACAGAGGTAGTATTGTGATTTATTTTACCACTTATCCTGTGGTTGCATTACACTTGGAAAACATGTGAGCACATTTAAAAAGATGTTTACAATATACGGATATCTCGTCCTTTCGAAAATTATGTTTCATACTCATAAACTGAAATACCATGAACTGTTGCTTTTAACGGATAACTTACTAGTTGGAGCTTTTAGCAAGATTTTTACGGGATGGGGTTGCCAACCCCATGCCCAACCCTCCTCCTTTACCCGGCCTAGAAAAGCTACAGGCGGAGATTTTAAGGGGTGAAGACATCTTATCTGAAGCGTTGAGCAATTTTCAAAAATGTCATATAGGAAGTTCGTATTCAACGCGAGGTTTCGTCAGTCACCAATATGATTGAGTTATGGAAGCTTAAAGGTGGGTCGTTTACCGCTCTCAAACACTTCACTATTTCGCAAACTGGACAGTAATGTAACTGCAAGGTGATGATTACATCTAAAGCATCCCTCAAATATCCGTTAGGATGTTCAAGAGACTGCATTTTGACGGGTTTTTTTTGGTTAAATAGGGGTATATCGTCTAAGTCGACAAAAGATTTCAGGCAAAAATTGAACTCGTAAAAAATCAGGTGAATATAAATTTATCTCTAAAAATATGCCTATAGAGAATCAAAAAGGTGGTGATAACAATAACAACTACTTGACGTATCTAATTCAGATGGAATTTGTACGTAACCTGTGGTCCGGCCAACAGTAAAAGTAACGTACTTTTCAGACTCATATTTCATTCACAAACATTGCCACAAAACCTCAGCTGATAGGTCTGAGTGTAATTTATTGGTGAGAAATTTCCTTTACGATTGCGTGGTAATAAATTCCTCTATTCACCATAACTTGATAAAATTTAGATGCATAGTCGTTGTATTCACGACAGATCTGGAAGCTTCTTGACTTCTCAGGATTTGGAATCACCGGTCTTGCGTTAAACGTAAGGTTATTACAGAACCAAAGGACCATGCTTTACACGACATTCACAATGATCAACTTGATACTTGTTCATCAAAACTTCAATTAATATCAACTCATTTTAGAAGTATTTGATTCATTTTTGCTGCCAACATTTGTTTATAGTAAATTGTGTGACCACTTTTTCAGGAGTTGATTTTCTTAGGCACTGCATCTGGATATCCGTCACCCCATCGGGGGGCCTCCGGTGTAGTATTACGTGACTTATGTTCTGGTTCACAATGGTTATTTGACTGTGGTGAAGGTGTACAGATACAAGCGCAAAAGTCGTCTTTCGTCCACTTTGGAAAAATCAATTCTATTTTCATTTCACATCTTCATGGGGATCATATGTTTGGTCTTCCTGGACTTTTATGTACAATAGATCAGAAAGATGAAGCTAGTAGTTTCATATTAGATGTAAACCCACAAAACGATAGCGCCTCCATAAACATTTACGGGCCAAAAGGACTTCGCAGATTCCTTCGACTTGCTCTGGCATTATCAAGGTAAGCTATGTGTGTTACAGCTTGTTCGCTGTTTGGTGATTCGGTCATCGATTCGACACCCAATCAAGCTATTTTTATCTAAATGTTTGACTGATAGAAGCATTGAATTACATGAAATCTCATGCATGGGTACATCCGTTTAAGTTCGCATTATTGTATTCGACATAGGTAAATAATAAAACAAGAAAATGTATTAACTAATTAGAGAAAGGGCAAGAAAAAATAAACCCAACATTGGCAACGATAACGTCTTCAGTATATAAAGAAGGGTTTAGAATGAATGTGTTCTATTGCAAAATTTTTCTGATCACATCTATAATTTTTGACTAAATGGCTCTAATAGGCCGTAACTAAGGGTTGAAAGGTTAAATTCATCCTATCTACCTGATTCTAGGGAATTTCCTTCACGATCTGGTTCTATGTTCTGATAAAGTTACTCCAAAGCTTCATAAAACCTACAAGATGTTTGAAGTAGTTAGTGATGAGAAATAGAATACATGTTCTGGAAATTCAAGTCAACAGTTTTTTCGATTACATTTCTACCATTTTCCAGAGCTCAATGTCTAAAACCAACATTATTTCTTTTGTTTAGCCCAATACGAGTAAATTTCCAAAGAAATTTGTGCGAAAATACCCGCGATTATGATGTCTCCAAGTCATATATTAGCTGTATAATATAAAGCTAGAAATCTGCTCACTATACTCGGATCTTCGTAAGAACGCGGATATGTTAATAGCATCTAGTAGCACATGTGCTTTCACATCTTGTTTCGATCTATATAACAGGATAGTATCATTAGCCTTCTTACAGTAGTTGTGGAATTTCACTGGTTTATTAGGTTGCATTTAGTAACTGAATTGTCGTACTTTACTCGTAAATATGGTATATTGCAAAATGTGAAATTATAGAGTGGCTTTAATTAGTTTACAAAGTCTGGATGTCAGTATATATTATGAATACATCTACATTTTCTAATTTCCTGACCGTTGTCACTACCTTGACGTGGTGGTCGGGCTTGCCTATCGTGATGAAGCAACTGAGCTATACCGGACGGAACAACCGTTCCTCAAGGTCCTACCATGCCAGACAGGTCGGTTGAAGAGCGGTAAGACTAAAAGCAACAAAACCAAGGTCCGAAGGCGAAGTTGTACTGCTGACTGTACAGAGGTGTGACAGCAGTAAGGTGTTTCCTTCAGACAACCAGCATGATAGCGATGCTGCCTTCCCACAAGGAGGGGTGGGGTTAGAAAAGGTCGACCCTAAAATTGCACACCTCGCCTTATCCCATGGATATCCGTCTCCGGCGGTAAGGTCTCAACAAGTACGGAGCTAACACAAAAATTACTCATAAAAAGGTCGTGTGTGACCGACCTCAAGCAGCTGTCCCTTGGGAACTGCGGTCACACTCTCAGGTCACTATGACCACTTCTAATCCAATTTCCTTTTCAGGCACCTCCAGGAGAACCCTTCCACGGTGTGGGCAACCGGGAAGTGATAACCGCCCTCATACCTCTAACAGCACTCAAGACCACTGTATTCATAATCAACCTACCTCTTCAATTCCTATTATTCCTCTTACATCGACTTTCACATCTAAACTCCCTCTTTCGGCTTCCTCCTCAAGTGTCACCACAGCCAACGATTCTAGTGCTCAAAACACTGTCCCAGGTCTACTGAAACCTCGCTCCAAACTACACATTGGAGCCTTCAACGTACACACACTATGCCAAATCGGTCAGCAGGCTTCCTTGGCTAAAACCTTAGAATCTCGTACGATTGATGTATGCTGTGACTCCGAAACACGCATACAGGATCCTAGCGTGGTCATTCACTTGACCTCACCTCGGCAAAACGGAGAGCCAACGATATACACCCTCCGTGTATCTGGCGACCCGATGGCTAGTTCTCGTGGACTGTCAGGTGTAGGCATAGCACTAAGCATGAGGGCAGAACAAGCGCTATTAGAGTGGATCCCCGTTAACAGTCGTCTATGCGCTATTCGGCTAAACGGCTCCGTAAGATCTCGGAAGGATAGGGACACACGTCGTCGCCTTTTCGTCGTTTCTGCCTACGCCCCACTGACTGCAGTTCGGATGAAGTGAAAGATGAATTTTACAGAAAACTGTCTGAACTTCTTCAGAAAGCTAAACGTTCAGACGTAGTACTCGTAGGAGGCGACTTTAATGCTCAGGTAGGTAGCTTAAACGAAACAGAAAGACATTTAGGTGGGTATTTTAGTATTCCGGCACAGTGAACAGATAATGGTGATCGTCTGCTGCAACTTTTCTCAGACAATCGTTTATTTTTAGCAAACACAAATTTTAAGCATAAGGAGAGACATCGTCTAACATGGCGACCCCCTGCACCAAACCAATGATGGACTCAAATGGACCATATTGCCATCAGTCATCGTTGGAGAGGGTCGCTCATTCTGTAGTACTTGTTTGAACTCCGACCATGCTCTAATACGAGCACGCATCTGCTTGCGCCACACTGGACGCAAAAAAGACTTATTAGAACAGAATTGAGTAATGAGAAAACCAATCGTAGGTTCCAGGAACAACTGAGGTCACACTTAGGTAGTTCTGAAAACGAGGCTGACCCAGATGTTGCTTGGAAAGTTAGACAATCAGCTGTGAAAACAGCAGTGACATCTACTAGTGATTTAAACCACAGGGTTACAAAGAACCAATGGATTTCTTCAAGGTCTATTGCACTGATGAATTCTCGTAAACTCATCCCATCAGGTTCTGAACACGATGAAGAGCGTAAAGAAATCAGATCTAGGTTAAGCAAAAGTCTAAGGGACGACCGTGAGCAGTGGTGGGCAACGAAAGCAAAAGAGATGGAAAAGGCGGCGGCTATAGGGAACACAAGATAACTCTACAGACTAATAAAAGAAACTGGAATTAATAAATCAAGTGTAAGTCAGACCATTTCGGAAAAAGACGACACTCTCATCTGCTCCCAGTCCAGACGTTTAGAACGATGGGCGGAACACTTAAAGGAGCAGTTTAGCTGGCCTTCAGCTACTCTACAACTACCCTCTATTCCCAGACAATGTGAACAGAACATTGAAGTAGGTCCTCCAACTCTAGCTGAAGTTCAAAAGGCCATAGTTAATCTGAAACGAGGAAGGGCAGCTGGTCCAGATGGTTTGGCCCCAGAGGTCTTTAAGGATGGTGGTCTAGTTTTAGCGATTAGGTTGACTAATCTTTTAGCTAAAATCTGGGAGTTAGACGTTATCCCATCTAACTGGTCACAATCACTTATCGTCCCATTATTTAAGAAAGGGTCAAAATCATCCTGTGACAACCATAGAGGGATTAGTTTAACTAATATAGTATCTAAAATACTAGCCTCGATAATTTTCGGACGCCTAACTAAGACTCGTGAACTGCAAACACGTGAAAATCAGGCTGGCTTCAGACCTGGTCGTGGCTGCATAGACCACATATTCACCATTCGTCAGGTTCTAGAACACAGGCATACTTATCGGCGTCCGACAATGGTGGTCTTCCTTGACTTAAAAGCAGCGTTTGACTCTGTAGACCGAGAGGTTCTGTGGCAGTGTCTGTCATTGAATGGCGTACCTCAGAAGTACATACACCTTGTGAAAGCTCTTTACTCGAACACCACTAGTCGGGTCAGAGCCTAAGGCGAACTATCATCCGCTTTTGCAACCTCAAGTGAGGTCCGTCAAGGCTGTCCACTTTCTCCTTTTTTGTTTAACTTTATCATAGACCTACTGATGGAAATAACGCTCTCATCGACTGAATTCTCGGGCATTGATCTCCTACCAGAAGGTCCACTTATCGACTTAGAATATGCAGATGACATAGTCCTGTTTGGTGAAGACGCTGATGAAATGCAGAGTCTTTTGGTAGCACTGAGCAACAATGCTAGAATGTTTGGGACGAGTATCTGCTGGGATCACCGGGTAAGTAATAGTGAGGTTAGACGCAGGGTACTAGGGAATGATGGTAAATCAGTTAATGAGGTTATGAATCTTCATCGACTGAGATGGTTAAGCTACGTGCTGCGTATGCTTAAACACCGATTACCACGACGTGCAATCCTAACTGGTGTTAGGGATAATTGGAAGAAAGTTAGGGGCGGCCAAACCAAAACGTGGCATCAGTGCTTGAAGTCACTAACTTCTAGTCTGAGCCATTTTGTTAGATGCAGACTGCCTGGTTGGGGTCCGCGTGACTATCGTAACCAACGGTTGGAGACTCTTGGTGACATGGCTCAGAATCGATCACAATGGCGTCGGTGTAAACACTCTCTGTCTGCCTTAAATTAAGAGATTAAAATCACTTCATATCTTTCTTTCTAGGAACTAATTCTTTCTTCCTGCACTATCTCCTTATATACTATCTTTCTTCTATATATTACCACCACTGAATTAACTACTTCTATGAGTCCGGTATTCATCTTGTTGTGCTAATGCGCTATGGCAACTTGGACCGATGCATATACGTGTCTGGTCCTACGTTGCAGCTGACTGACTGACTGTTAAAACATATTCAAAGAGGCATTATGCACTAGCTTCTCGACTAAAGGTAAATTCGCAAGTTGGGTATTGTCATAACAGTTGTAGTAAAATTTGATGAATACTGGACTCACTAACTCTAAATCCGCTGTTATTCTAGTAATCAATCCACTAGCCTGATCAATGTTATTAATTTAAATACATTCGATTTGACGAAACAAAATAAAGGAGGGGTTCAAATCATGAGTTTATGAAAGATATCAACCACATAATCGAATTTCGAAGGTCCCAAGCAAATTATGAGAACGAAATCGTTTTTCGTCCTGATATGATATTAATTTGCCATCAACATATAGTAAACAGACACGTAGTATACCAAGAATGGAATATATATTCATGAATGATATTCCAGATGGACATTCTTGATGAACAAAATCACTTTGAGAATCAAGAGATTTTTAGACATCATTAAGAAACGTAGTCACTTATCGTTAGGGAACTAAATACAATAAAATAAGCATAGAGATAAGCTCAAAAACGATTTACATACGTAACTGCTACAGAAGATCTTTATTATTAATGTGACATTTCTCCTTCATTTCAATTAATCTCATTGAACTTTTTACTTCTCACCATGTCACAACATTTTAATATCGTTTAACTAACGAACCATAAAATGTTGTGCGTAAAGTATACCTCATCTTTTCGAATAGTAAAATGTTCATCTAAAGACTAATCTACTCAAGACTGTTCATAATATTTTTATACTGCTTTGAATATTTCGTAGTGGAATTTAGTCCTAACTTCAACCAGTCAAGGTAATAGCCTTCCAATTCACTAGCCTGATCAATGTTATTAATTTTCAATATACTGCATCATGCTGCTCATTGACATCAAGTTTCAACGCTTAAAATTCTTGCTCTGTAATATTTTTTCTTTTCATTTGGTATTCTATTACTTTGTTGTATGTAAGGGAACAATTTACTGTTACATCAATATCACCATGATAATTAATAAGAAATGTTTGAGGATGCACAAAATTCTGTAGCGGATATATGATGAGTGTTTTCTAACGGGGTCGCAAAAGCTTGATATATTGATTAGCTCGAAAGGAAAACAATAATCCAGTAGATAAGCTAGAAAGTTTATTGTTCATCTTAAAGCTCAATACGCCTTTATTCTCCATTATAAGTCATCGGCATTGGAAATAAGTGTGGATCTTAAATAACATAACTTTAATATTATGAGATGATTCTGTTCCCTTTGTAAATATACGGCATTTTTCTCATCCTTCAGCTTGACTAAGGTAATAGTAGTTCATGATTTAAAACCAAGTGTGAACTGTTGATCGGACACCAATACGTTTATCAAGGATTAAAATTCCTCATAAATTTCCACTGCAGTTGTGACTTTGTTTTGCCTATTTTAAAGTTATTTTGAAACGGCTATGTGAAAAAAGCCCCACCATTACTTTTCTGTAAAAATTCCTACACTTTTCTGGATTCTGGTACTATCTGAATAATGCTAATCAAAATCCTCAACATCCAATACCTGCTATTCATTCAACGTTTCTATTCAGTGAAACTGTTATTTGCTAGATAGCCTATAAAACATTTTAGTTGTCCTTGATTATGACAACTTACCAGACATAAGTGATCGCTTACAATCCTTTGCGTCATTCAAAGTTGGAATATTTTATGACATATTTATGGAAAATTAACGACCTGGATAAAAATAGATTTCGGTAATCGCTGTTATTGTATGTTATATATTTTGAATTCCACAAAAGCAATATGGCATGTGAATATCAATTTTTTAAAGAATCTAGTCAATTCTAGTCACGCCGCTTCATCAAAAACCTCCTTCACAACCATGCACACAGTCAGAAGAGGAATGCAAATGGAAAACTTATCTACAGAAGAGGCTATCTCTATCAATCTGTTCGAGCCTAACCTTTGCATACAAAAACAGTACTTTCAGTCTCTCATTCTTCTGTAGCCTTCTGTTTTACTTAACTTGTCGTTTTTTGTTTTATTTTGTTATTCTACTCCTTTCCAATTATTTTCATAGCTATTAACTATTATTATGATTTTTAATTATTCTCTTCTTAACAGCTATGAAGTGGATAATTATCCTCACATGACCACTTCTCACTAGCCAATTATCATATAACTTTCTTTCAATATCTGATTTTCTTAAGCATTTTATGACAAGATGTCTCTCCAGCTTTTTTAAATATTCTGTTTTACTATAAACTACTATTTTAGCAGATAAAATTAACCATAAATACGATTGTACAGCTTAAATAAATGAAATCGTCAGGAAGAAAATTTGCTTAGCTGAATTGTCTTCTTTCTTCAGCGACAGAGTGTCTCTTTCGTTATTTAATATCAATCTTATTAAGCTGTTTTACATTGTGTAAGATTTTACTTAAACACTGTGAATATAATATTTGAGATAAAATACCAATAAGATTTATTATTTTCATTTGTTCTAGAGCTAATTTAAGCTATACTTATGCTGTTCATGAGTTGATACTAGAAGAAAAACATTGTCCTCCAAATTGGCAAGACTGGGCATGTTTAGAAGCTGATATAACTCGAGATCCCCCATTATTTTGTGAACGTCCTGGTAGAGACATTTTTGCGAACAGTGATGGTAAGATTTATTGGTGAACGTCAGTTATAAATATTTGTCTAGATTCACTTATTTCATTATGTTTAAAGTGAAATGCATTGTAATTGCTTTTTAACTGAAAGTGAGATTCATACCTAGGTTTTTTAAATGGTTTGGCCCCTAACTTAGCTATTATTAGGTTGACTCCAATAAGATTGATCTTACAACATATATGTTCATCATCACTGTTACTTCATACGATTATTGGCGCTCTTTAATGAGCAGCAATGAGTTGAGATGACTCTTACCTTTGAAACCATTTCATTGATTTTCATAAAAACTTTTCTGATGCTAAACTTAACTGATGATCACCATATGACATAGAGCGAAGAATAATTGTTGTGAATCCGAAACATGATCCTAGAATTGCATTTCTCGTTTTTCCTGGTTTTATGAGTTAACTTATTGAAATTCTGTTACGATAATGGATGGTGTGCATTACTTAAAGTCCGTTGGTGAATAAATAATGAATTCCCCACATAATAATATGTCTCAGTTGGTTAGTCAATATAAGCAACTATATATCATATGTTTTAGATTAAAATTAAATTGCCATACGAAAGTCACTAACTGAGTTTAACTGATCCAGGAAAAGGATATAGTTGGGAAAAGTCAAAGGCAGGAACAAGAAAGTTTCTACCTTTCCAACCAATATCTTACAAATATAATTCCTTGTGTAGCTATCTCCTATAAATTAAATTCACGAAAACTTCACTGCTATTATTATGGTTCTATGACAGTTTGTCTAATTAAGTTTTGAAGTATGTTACATGATGCTATGTGTTATCTCTTTTGCAGGATTCTGGTATAATATTACAAATAATGAAGAAAACTGTGAAATGGTGCATGCAATGTCTATAAAACATACGATTCCTTCCGTAGGTTGGTTGATAATAAAGCCGGATCATTCACCTTCCTTGTGTGCTGAGACGGCTATAAAATTAGGCGTTCCCAAAGGACGATTAATGGGTGAACTGAAACGAGTAGTTTATATATATATATATATATATATATATATATATATTATTTTCATTAATTTGGTGTTGTGATATCGTATAAATAGTTAAATGGACATATCATATTAAAATTATCAGTGATACAAGTAACGGGTATATGAATTGACTTGGTAACACTTTTAACTTCTATGCTTCTATCTAAAAAGGCGTAGAGCCTTCAATATATACAATTTACTGTCAGCTGTTTATACATATGTTCATGTGTTACTCAGATAAATATATTGCTTTGTATCTGATTATTACCGTAAATCCTGACATAAATTATGCTCTTAATCGTCCTATAAATACTTATTATTTATTTATTTATTTGAACACATAGACATTGGTACAAGGAGGCACCAAATACATATACACCACACAAGTCACTTGATTTGTGCATATGGGCTGTGATACTACCCGGATGCCCAGACTGTAGCAGGTGGTTTTCTCAGGGGGTTACACTCGGAGCTTTTTACCTAAAGGTCTGGTCCACAAGGAAGTGGAGCAACGTCTGGAGATGTACTCCCATGGTGGCCGGTGACCAATAACAGGTTCATACGCCATTTGTTGTGAGTTGTGTATGATACATATAAGTGAATTAAGTGGACAATATTACATTCTTGTTTATCGTATTTCATATTCATCAGCTTATTTAATGCATTATTGGAACAGACTCACTCAATATTTAGTTTAGGCTAATGCCTTTCTTAAGTATGCACAGATTAACTGATTATATCTTATCATATATCACTTCCCTCATCGTGCAGACAACCCTTTTATCAGTTTAAATCAGGTTACCAAGTTCAGGTAATTGTTTCAGGAATCCGTTTTTAATTTTATTAACATTTGCATCTGTTTACAGACTACTGTGACTGAACACTACTGTAATATTGCCTACCGACTACTGTTATTTAAACTTTTTGACTTTCCTTTTATTGATTTATTTCTACCATGTTACTGTAATGCAAAACAAATTGAACCAACTAACATTTCTGTCAGTTTATGATTAACCGACATTGATAATTTCTATTTCTCATGAGTTATATTTTGTTGTTTTCATACGATCATGAATTGAATATATCTAAGTATCAGAGAACACCTAATTAACAAACAGGTATAAGGAACAATAATATAAAAATGTAAAAATTGTTAGATTACCAAGATAGATCGTGAGGGTTGATACAAAACAATCTAACTGAGAAATATCAGCATATCGTCAATCAAATAATCAAACTGAATGACAAATAATTGAGGAGTAATCATAATATTGCAGGAATCCACTTGCGTTATTCTCTTACTTATTACAGTTTTTAAAAAATAAAATAAAAAACCATAGACTGTCAATTACATTTATTTAAATTAATTAATAGTTAATAATTAATTTCTATTATTCATAGTTGATAATAACATAGATAGTTGATTAGTGAATTTCAGTTGATGTATTTTGAATTACAATTATATATCAGAATTAGATTTTCTTTTATCATAAACGGAACATGGGCATATCACATGTGTATATTTATAATCTTATTTCTAGTTAATCATATTTTAATAGTTGACCAATTGAATAGTCATAATCATAAAATCATTTAGTATAACATTTATATGTGAATGTTTTTATCTTATGTTGTATTATGGTTAGTGTTTCTAACGATTTTTCATATATTCACTTGTCTCTTGATTTCTTGATGTAAAACATCATAATCTATAATTAACTTAGATTATTAACACTAAAATCAATTGCTTTTCTCAAGATAGGATATATAAGTTTTAATCCTGATATCATTTGTTAATCGATATCACAAAACAATTTCAATATTTTTTTTCTTCTCTCAAGGGTAAGACAGTTGTCATTGATGGTAAAACAGTTCTACCTGAAGATGTTTTGAAACCGCGTTTAAGAGGTCATCGTATTGCAATTATGGGGGACACATATGATTCTTCTGAACTTTTACGCCTTATGCAGGTTTTGCATACTACAAATCAAATTACTTCTATAACTTTGGATACTCTTGTACATGAAGCTACTTTAGACGATAGTTTATATGAAGATGCATTGAGCAAAGGTCATTCTGTACCAAGAGTTGTAATGAAATTAGCCTGTCAACTTAATGTTCGTCAGTTAGTTTTAACACATTTCAGTCATAGATATGATCGAATAGATTCTCCGGATGAAAATACTATAAAAAGTAAATTCACCTTGATATTGTTATGAAAATATAGTCTTACCCAACAAAATATATTGTAAATTATTGCATTTATGATTGCTGCTGTTATTTTTTGTCAAAAACGAACTGTAGTGTTGATAGAAACTCGCTTTAGCAGAATCTCAATAATGCTATAATTATGAATGGATCAAAAGACTACTCAGCTTATTTATTTCTCAAAAGCAACCACAGATTCAGTATTGAAGTTAACAGGTTTTAAACTTCTGAAGAATGTCATTAGAATGTAGATTAGTTAGTAAATCTAGTTATTGATGAGATAAATTATAAGTTACTGTAGTTTATCGCACTAATATTTATATACGGTTAATGATTTTAGAACGTATCACTGGATTCGAAATATATTCTCTCGATTCCCGAGATTTCGGTAATCGCTGTTATTGTATGTTATATATTTTGAATTCCACAAAAGCAATATGGCATGTGAATATCAATTTTTTAAAGAATCTAGTCAATTCTAGTCACGCCGCTTCATCAAAAACCTCCTTCACAACCATGCACACAGTCAGAAGAGGAATGCAAATGGAAAACTTATCTACAGAAGAGGCTATCTCTATCAATCTGTTCGAGCCTAACCTTTGCATACAAAAACAGTACTTTCAGTCTCTCATTCTTCTGTAGCCTTCTGTTTTACTTAACTTGTCGTTTTTTGTTTTATTTTGTTATTCTACTCCTTTCCAATTATTTTCATAGCTATTAACTATTATTATGATTTTTAATTATTCTCTTCTTAACAGCTATGAAGTGGATAATTATCCTCACATGACCACTTCTCACTAGCCAATTATCATATAACTTTCTTTCAATATCTGATTTTCTTAAGCATTTTATGACAAGATGTCTCTCCAGCTTTTTTAAATATTCTGTTTTACTATAAACTACTATTTTAGCAGATAAAATTAACCATAAATACGATTGTACAGCTTAAATAAATGAAATCGTCAGGAAGAAAATTTGCTTAGCTGAATTGTCTTCTTTCTTCAGCGACAGAGTGTCTCTTTCGTTATTTAATATCAATCTTATTAAGCTGTTTTACATTGTGTAAGATTTTACTTAAACACTGTGAATATAATATTTGAGATAAAATACCAATAAGATTTATTATTTTCATTTGTTCTAGAGCTAATTTAAGCTATACTTATGCTGTTCATGAGTTGATACTAGAAGAAAAACATTGTCCTCCAAATTGGCAAGACTGGGCATGTTTAGAAGCTGATATAACTCGAGATCCCCCATTATTTTGTGAACGTCCTGGTAGAGACATTTTTGCGAACAGTGATGGTAAGATTTATTGGTGAACGTCAGTTATAAATATTTGTCTAGATTCACTTATTTCATTATGTTTAAAGTGAAATGCATTGTAATTGCTTTTTAACTGAAAGTGAGATTCATACCTAGGTTTTTTAAATGGTTTGGCCCCTAACTTAGCTATTATTAGGTTGACTCCAATAAGATTGATCTTACAACATATATGTTCATCATCACTGTTACTTCATACGATTATTGGCGCTCTTTAATGAGCAGCAATGAGTTGAGATGACTCTTACCTTTGAAACCATTTCATTGATTTTCATAAAAACTTTTCTGATGCTAAACTTAACTGATGATCACCATATGACATAGAGCGAAGAATAATTGTTGTGAATCCGAAACATGATCCTAGAATTGCATTTCTCGTTTTTCCTGGTTTTATGAGTTAACTTATTGAAATTCTGTTACGATAATGGATGGTGTGCATTACTTAAAGTCCGTTGGTGAATAAATAATGAATTCCCCACATAATAATATGTCTCAGTTGGTTAGTCAATATAAGCAACTATATATCATATGTTTTAGATTAAAATTAAATTGCCATACGAAAGTCACTAACTGAGTTTAACTGATCCAGGAAAAGGATATAGTTGGGAAAAGTCAAAGGCAGGAACAAGAAAGTTTCTACCTTTCCAACCAATATCTTACAAATATAATTCCTTGTGTAGCTATCTCCTATAAATTAAATTCACGAAAACTTCACTGCTATTATTATGGTTCTATGACAGTTTGTCTAATTAAGTTTTGAAGTATGTTACATGATGCTATGTGTTATCTCTTTTGCAGGATTCTGGTATAATATTACAAATAATGAAGAAAACTGTGAAATGGTGCATGCAATGTCTATAAAACATACGATTCCTTCCGTAGGTTGGTTGATAATAAAGCCGGATCATTCACCTTCCTTGTGTGCTGAGACGGCTATAAAATTAGGCGTTCCCAAAGGACGATTAATGGGTGAACTGAAACGAGTAGTTTATATATATATATATATATATATATATATATATATATATATATATATATATATATATATATATATATATATATATATATTATTTTCATTAATTTGGTGTTGTGATATCGTATAAATAGTTAAATGGACATATCATATTAAAATTATCAGTGATACAAGTAACGGGTATATGAATTGACTTGGTAACACTTTTAACTTCTATGCTTCTATCTAAAAAGGCGTAGAGCCTTCAATATATACAATTTACTGTCAGCTGTTTATACATATGTTCATGTGTTACTCAGATAAATATATTGCTTTGTATCTGATTATTACCGTAAATCCTGACATAAATTATGCTCTTAATCGTCCTATAAATACTTATTATTTATTTATTTATTTGAACACATAGACATTGGTACAAGGAGGCACCAAATACATATACACCACACAAGTCACTTGATTTGTGCATATGGGCTGTGATACTACCCGGATGCCCAGACTGTAGCAGGTGGTTTTCTCAGGGGGTTACACTCGGAGCTTTTTACCTAAAGGTCTGGTCCACAAGGAAGTGGAGCAACGTCTGGAGATGTACTCCCATGGTGGCCGGTGACCAATAACAGGTTCATACGCCATTTGTTGTGAGTTGTGTATGATACATATAAGTGAATTAAGTGGACAATATTACATTCTTGTTTATCGTATTTCATATTCATCAGCTTATTTAATGCATTATTGGAACAGACTCACTCAATATTTAGTTTAGGCTAATGCCTTTCTTAAGTATGCACAGATTAACTGATTATATCTTATCATATATCACTTCCCTCCATCGTGCAGACAACCCTTTTATCAGTTTAAATCAGGTTACCAAGTTCAGGTAATTGTTTCAGGAATCCGTTTTTAATTTTATTAACATTTGCATCTGTTTACAGACTACTGTGACTGAACACTACTGTAATATTGCCTACCGACTACTGTTATTTAAACTTTTTGACTTTCCTTTTATTGATTTATTTCTACCATGTTACTGTAATGCAAAACAAATTGAACCAACTAACATTTCTGTCAGTTTATGATTAACCGACATTGATAATTTCTATTTCTCATGAGTTATATTTTGTTGTTTTCATACGATCATGAATTGAATATATCTAAGTATCAGAGAACACCTAATTAACAAACAGGTATAAGGAACAATAATATAAAAATGTAAAAATTGTTAGATTACCAAGATAGATCGTGAGGGTTGATACAAAACAATCTAACTGAGAAATATCAGCATATCGTCAATCAAATAATCAAACTGAATGACAAATAATTGAGGAGTAATCATAATATTGCAGGAATCCACTTGCGTTATTCTCTTACTTATTACAGTTTTTAAAAAATAAAATAAAAAACCATAGACTGTCAATTACATTTATTTAAATTAATTAATAGTTAATAATTAATTTCTATTATTCATAGTTGATAATAACATAGATAGTTGATTAGTGAATTTCAGTTGATGTATTTTGAATTACAATTATATATCAGAATTAGATTTTCTTTTATCATAAACGGAACATGGGCATATCACATGTGTATATTTATAATCTTATTTCTAGTTAATCATATTTTAATAGTTGACCAATTGAATAGTCATAATCATAAAATCATTTAGTATAACATTTATATGTGAATGTTTTTATCTTATGTTGTATTATGGTTAGTGTTTCTAACGATTTTTCATATATTCACTTGTCTCTTGATTTCTTGATGTAAAACATCATAATCTATAATTAACTTAGATTATTAACACTAAAATCAATTGTTTTTCTCAAGATAGGATATATAAGTTTTAATCCTGATATCATTTGTTAATCGATATCACAAAACAATTTCAATATTTTTTTTCTTCTCTCAAGGGTAAGACAGTTGTCATTGATGGTAAAACAGTTCTACCTGAAGATGTTTTGAAACCGCGTTTAAGAGGTCATCGTATTGCAATTATGGGGGACACATATGATTCTTCTGAACTTTTACGCCTTATGCAGGTTTTGCATACTACAAATCAAATTACTTCTATAACTTTGGATACTCTTGTACATGAAGCTACTTTAGACGATAGTTTATATGAAGATGCATTGAGCAAAGGTCATTCTGTACCAAGAGTTGTAATGAAATTAGCCTGTCAACTTAATGTTCGTCAGTTAGTTTTAACACATTTCAGTCATAGATATGATCGAATAGATTCTCCGGATGAAAATACTATAAAAAGTAAATTCACCTTGATATTGTTATGAAAATATAGTCTTACCCAACAAAATATATTGTAAATTATTGCATTTATGATTGCTGCTGTTATTTTTTGTCAAAAACGAACTGTAGTGTTGATAGAAACTCGCTTTAGCAGAATCTCAATAATGCTATAATTATGAATGGATCAAAAGACTACTCAGCTTATTTATTTCTCAAAAGCAACCACAGATTCAGTATTGAAGTTAACAGGTTTTAAACTTCTGAAGAATGTCATTAGAATGTAGATTAGTTAGTAAATCTAGTTATTGATGAGATAAATTATAAGTTACTGTAGTTTATCGCACTAATATTTATATACGGTTAATGATTTTAGAACGTATCACTGGATTCGAAATATATTCTCTCGATTCCCGATGTATTGATCTGTAGGTAACACGTTCGCTGCGAGGACTATTACTATTATTCATATATATATATATATATATATATATATATATATATATATATATATATATATATATATATATATATACTTTTAAAAACCACACAAATTTTACTTTCTTACAGGTGAAATTGGTGAACAGGTGAATTACTCAAAGAAATCTAAAGGTGATAAGAAAAACAAACCTAGTTTGCAAATTATCTTAGATCAGGCCAAATCTACAGACTTCAGTGGAGATATCATTTTGGCTGATGATCAACTTTTAGTGAGAATCCCCCCTGTAACACAATAACAATATTAGTATGTAAAGGCTTATAGTTTTTCTGTTTCATGCATTCAAATTACTACTAAGGAATATATACAGTCGTTAATAACCGAACTAATTTTTTCTAAATATCACTTAGGTATCAGTGGATAAGATTTTCTTCTGATCTCCAATAAGAGATCGATCTGGGCCCTTTACAAGCATGTGAAATAGCCCATCTCACTGGTATATAAGTAAATTTAGCTGATAGTTCCTCAACAAAATCGAAGTGTCAACTTGGCTAGCACTAACTCTAAGTATCATAGAAATTTAGCAATCTAGATGAGATTTGTCAGGGTTTTTCAAACCTGATGAACCGAAAGATTAAACGCTATAAAAAGTTCGGGGTTTTTTAAGAAGCAACTAATTAGAAACAAACTAACATGAAGCTGTCGCTCATCCAGGGGTAGCGTTGCATGGTCTACAAGCGAATTTGAAAGTAAATGTCTTAGTAATCAAAGCCGTAAGATTCGGGAAGTTCTGTGAATTTGAGTAGCGTCTGTCGAATTGCGAGATGCTCAGAAATGATACTGAAGACTCAACTTGGGAAACAGGTGGAAAGACAAACTTGTGTACGTGCTGACAGAATATAGTATTATCGTAAACGTCGTTTTGCTAGATGTGCATCTTTTAAGGACTGACTTGTCTAAGTTCTTAGTTTGCCCATACGAAGTGAACGTGTCCACCGCGCACTTATCCTTTTTGTCCTATCACTCTTGATAAGTCGATAGCTGAAGAGATTTCGGCATGAGTACAAAGTTCACTGTATATTACTCCATAATAGTAGAATCTGGCTTATGATATTAGAAAACGAGTGCTCGTTGAAGGTATTCGGTCACGGACATCTCCGAAGCGTTGCTTGCTCATAATCCGGGGCAGCACCAGATAGAAATGATGTGTTCGTTGACGAGGCTGCGAACCTTCATCGATCGAAGTACCAGATGATGTGTGTAGTTCTAGGCTATATTCAACTGAGACGGTGGAGATTTATAGCTCAGGTGGATGATTTTGGTGAAGTTGTGTTCTCTGAGTTAAAACAGAAGTTTGAGTTCTTGGTATAGTAGACCGTAAGTGCACTTTCGTTACGCGACTCCCTAATGCACGGTCCAAAGCTCAAAATAAACGCTGTGTTATACCAAAGTAACATTTACATCTGTTGTGTATGCTACTTATATCGACAGACATAAGTAGTATGTAACGTCAATCGGCACTGGAAAACCTGGCATGCGAAGGCTAAGAAGATCGAGTTGAAGAAAATAAGGAGAAATTATGGTCCAGAAGAATCATACAGAATGTGAAAGACAAATGATAGAAATTTGCAAAAGAAGTATTCAGTCTATTGTTCTCATTTTAGAGATTCTGTACAATCAGTTGTTCTCATATGTGTTCTAGGTCACTACAGATCTAGCTTTAAGGTAGAACAAGATTCTGTCTCATGAAACCCTGATAATAACGTTTCGCATGTTCGAATGGGGAGGTATGAGAAAGTGTGCAACCGAAGAGCATTAGTTTAAGTTGTAACGCTTCAAAATGCATCTTATTGAATCATAATGGTAAGTAGGTGGACATTGTAAAATATTTTCATATGGCTAGTTTTATTTGCATAGATTAATTCCAATTAGTGATTATCTAGATTTATCACTTATGATTAAGATTTGACGATTTTAAGCTAATATTTCTAATTCAAAGCAACTTTAATTACAGTGTCTACCTGTCACTAGTGAGACTACTATAATACCAATATTTCAACCTAGTGTTAACTCCGAATCAAATTTACTGTAACACAACAGTTAGAAGTGCGACAAAACCTACTATATTTCGATATCAGTGATGATACCAATGAGCGTCAATTTTACAAGCAAACTCTCAGGTGAAATACATAAACTCATTTTGTGAAGCACAATCTTATCAAGTATTATTGCTTTAATTACTTCATGTAAAGGATGCCAAAACGACAAAATATGCTTCCCACCGAACGACCAAAATCCCAACGTACATTGAAAATATCGTGTCTAAAATTAGTGCACTTTATTTTTAAGCTAAAAATTTATTTCACTTGTAGTAAAGTTTCCCAAATGATGAACAATTTGCTTCGCCTACCAAAATCTAAAAGTATCATGATCGAAATCAGATAAATGTTCTTTGAATACCATTATTACATTGTGTCAAATCATTTCTCGAGTACGTTAAGCTATCAATATTTACGCTATGAACTATCAGGAAGTCTCACTTTTCTTCACACTACCAACGTCACAAAAATCTTCTTGCTCCTAAAATTTCTCCTTTTATCTGTTATTATACAGTATTAATAACACTACCACCCACAATTTTTAATAAAACTTCCGTAAACAGTATTAAGGAATTGGATCTATGAAGTATTATTACTGATCTACTGAAGCAACACTTCAAACTATACATTGAAGATTACAACGTCCGAAAACATTTTTAAACCAAATACAAAACGAGCTTTCAACCGAGAATTCACTATCTTGAGAAATGAGCGAAACAGACCGATTGAGAGGTCTGCCTTTATTTTGTTTCATAGATATGTTTTTCTAAGACAGTGAAAAAACATTTGAGCGTAGCTGTTCACTGCAATCAGCATAGTTGTAACAGAAGCGCACCATTATCTGTTCGCTTAGCCTCAACACCGTAAGACATTATTTGAACACATAGATATTGGTACTAGGAGGCACCAAATACATATACACCACACAAGTCACTTGATTTGTGCATATGGGCTGTGATACTACCCGGATGCCCAGACTGTAGCAGGTGGTTTTCTCAGGGGGTTACACTCGGAGCTTTTTACCTAAAGGTCTGGTCCACAAGGAAGTGGAGCAACGTCTGGAGATGTACTCCCATGGTGGCCGGTGACCAATAACAGGTTCATACGCCATTTGTTGTGAGTTGTGTATGATACATATAAGTGAATTAAGTGGACAATATTACATTCTTGTTTATCGTATTTCATATTCATCAGCTTATTTAATGCATTATTGGAACAGACTCACTCAATATTTAGTTTAGGCTAATGCCTTTCTTAAGTATGCACAGATTAACTGATTATATCTTATCATATATCACTTCCCTCACCGTGCAGACAACCCTTTTATCAGTTTAAATCAGGTTACCAAGTTCAGGTAATTGTTTCAGGAATCCGTTTTTAATTTTATTAACATTTGCATCTGTTTACAGACTACTGTGACTGAACACTACTGTAATATTGCCTACCGACTACTGTTATTTAAACTTTTTGACTTTCCTTTTATTGATTTATTTCTACCATGTTACTGTAATGCAAAACAAATTGAACCAACTAACATTTCTGTCAGTTTATGATTAACCGACATTGATAATTTCTATTTCTCATGAGTTATATTTTGTTGTTTTCATACGATCATGAATTGAATATATCTAAGTATCAGAGAACACCTAATTAACAAACAGGTATAAGGAACAATAATATAAAAATGTAAAAATTGTTAGATTACCAAGATAGATCGTGAGGGTTGATACAAAACAATCTAACTGAGAAATATCAGCATATCGTCAATCAAATAATCAAACTGAATGACAAATAATTGAGGAGTAATCATAATATTGCAGGAATCCACTTGCGTTATTCTCTTACTTATTACAGTTTTTAAAAAATAAAATAAAAAACCATAGACTGTCAATTACATTTATTTAAATTAATTAATAGTTAATAATTAATTTCTATTATTCATAGTTGATAATAACATAGATAGTTGATTAGTGAATTTCAGTTGATGTATTTTGAATTACAATTATATATCAGAATTAGATTTTCTTTTATCATAAACGGAACATGGGCATATCACATGTGTATATTTATAATCTTATTTCTAGTTAATCATATTTTAATAGTTGACCAATTGAATAGTCATAATCATAAAATCATTTAGTATAACATTTATATGTGAATGTTTTTATCTTATGTTGTATTATGGTTAGTGTTTCTAACGATTTTTCATATATTCACTTGTCTCTTGATTTCTTGATGTAAAACATCATAATCTATAATTAACTTAGATTATTAACACTAAAATCAATTGTTTTTCTCAAGATAGGATATATAAGTTTTAATCCTGATATCATTTGTTAATCGATATCACAAAACAATTTCAATATTTTTTTTCTTCTCTCAAGGGTAAGACAGTAGCAGGTGGTTTTCTCAGGGGGTCACACTCAGAGCTTTCTATCTAAAGGTCTGGTCCACAAGGAAGTGGAGCAACGTCGGGAGATGTACTCCCATGGTGGCCGGTGACCAACAACAGGTTCATACGCCATTTGTTCCCTCAGGATACTAGAGCTCATGTGTACGATTGGTTTGGAACCATGGTTTCTCAACTCCCCTAGGTGGATCCTCCTCATCCACCAACCCGGTTAAATCGTCGGATTTTTTCTTTTCGTCCTCTCAATTTCGTAAACAACCAGCTCGCTGCGAGAAGGCAGTGAGTAGGACTTTCCTGGTAATGGCTGTATACGCGTGGTCATGTGCGAGCATTTCGGGAGGGAGAGAAGACTCTCCCTACTCTCGGCCGTACCAGAGATTTTGGGGGCACCGTAAGATCTACCTGAGTGCCTTGCTGTTTGGTTTAGTTTAACTACTTGTACATCAAAATCACCTGCCACCATTTCTAAATCGGAGCATTTTAGCTTTATGGAGGGATGTGAATAGCTTCCTATAAAATCCTTCTGTATTTATCAAATGTCCAAATGGGAATTTTCAACTTTGATTAAGTTACTATGTGGTTGATAAGAATGTATGTAGAAAGAAATCCAAAGTAATAGTCATAACGTAAATAAATTAAGTAATAACACTTTGTTGAAACGGAATAGCATGTACATAATCAGCAACAAATTTACCGGACATAAATTCTAAAATAAACAGAATTATTTATTCGCATCAACTGTGTACATACTTGTGGACAGAAAAAAAAACGAAAACTAGTGAAAACAGG